AATACAATTTCCTGTCTTATCATGATAGGGAAAATTCCGTTCCTTTAATTTTCCATTTTTGCAAAATATGACGGCAATACTTAATCGGCTTTCCTAACAGATCAAGCCCCACACAAAAACTTTGCTTCACCATTGACAAACCTCTGAATCTAATTCAAAATAGATGATTGCAATTCATGAGGGCCCCGCTTATACAGCAGGTTAGGTTCCTGGCTATCTCTATAAATTGAAACATAGCCTTATTCCACTTTTAAAATGCATATAAAAGCCTGATGACATGTTTACACTATCATATACTGAGTGAGCAATATAGCTAGACCTAAATAACGTATATACAGTACATTCATTACATACCTTAAAATATTTTTGCCCTAAGCTTATCATAAGTGGTGAATATATTTATTGTACGAAGAGTGACTCACGAAATCGTAATGACACGATTGCAAATAAACCATACCATGGGCGGGGTTCTAGCCCCACCTGTGGTATGGTTTTTTTTATTGTAAGAAGCCTGAATAAATGAAGAATAGCTATAATTGAAAACTGTTGAATTAGCAAGACGTTGTAAATAAAGCGCTGTTTAGTGGGGCCTGCCTGTGTCTTAATTTGCATACCATAACCAAACCACTTTCTCCATGGGAAAAGGAAAGAATTTTCCCTCCTTTACCATGCATGTCGTAAAAAGGCGACTAAAATGCCGGGAGCAAAGGGGTAGTAACCCCTTCTCCTATGTACATTACTAAATTTAAGAAGAGAAACTTTGTTTTTCTTTTTAGGTCACGCTGCCTCAGTGAGATATTACCTAGAGTTTACCTGGAGAGAGTTCCGGGGGTCAACGCCCCCGCGGCCCGGTCTGTGACCAGGCCTCCTGGTCACACCTGGCCGGTGTTGAAAAAAAAAACCACCCATGTTCCGTCACAAATGCATTAACACTCACCGGATCCATCTCGAAGTAGACGATCTCTCCTCCAGTCAAAGCAATGATGACCTGGCGCTGGTTGAGGGCGCATCTGACAATCGTCTTCTTTCCTGGAGCTTTCCACTCGTTGACGCGCCGATCTGCACGGATGTGGCGGATGCCATCTGGGTAGACCTGCATAGCAACACTTATGAGTGAATTAAGTGAGAGCATTCACTTTTTAATATGGCAAGGCTTCCTGTTTTAGGCCTCGGGATTTATACAACGAGGCTATTGATGGTATGTTTTTATAGATGCCCACTAAAATACCAGTTACCAACTTACACACACAATCTCATGACAAAGATTCTCATGGATCCTCTAACAATGATATTCATGGATCACCTAAGACACTCATGGATCACCTAACAAAGATACTCATGGATCACCTAAGACACTCATGGATCACCTAACAAAGACACTCATGGATCACCTAACAAAGATACTCATGGATCACCTAACAAAGATACTCATGGATCACCTACCAAAGATACTCATGGATCACCTAAGACACTCATGGATCACCTAACAAAGATACTCATGGATCACCTAACAAAGACACCATGGATCCCTAACAAAGATACTCATGGATCCCCTACCAAAGATACTCATGGATCACCTAAGACACTCATGGATCACCTAACAAAGATACTCATGGACCACCTAACAAAGATACTCATGGATCACCTAACAAAGACACTCATGGATCACCTAACAAAGATACTCATGGATCACCTAACAAAGATACTCATGGATCACCTAACAAAGATACTCATGGATCACCTAACAAAGACACTCTTTGGATCACCTAACAAAGATACTCAGGGATCACCTAACAAAGACACTCAGGGGATCACCTAACAAAGAAAACTAAATGGATCACCTAACAAAGATACTCATGGATCACCTAACAAAGATACTCATGGATCACCTAACAAGAACACTCATGGATCCCCTAACAAAGATACTCAGGGACCACCTAACAAAGATACTCATGGATCACCTAACAAAGATACTCATGGATCACCTAAAAAAAGATACTCATGGATCACCTACCAAATACTCATGGATCACCTAAGACACTCATGGATCACCTAACAAAGATACTCATGGATCACCTAACAAAGATACTCATGGATCACCTAACAAAGATACTCATGGATCACCTAACAAAGATACTCATGGATCACCTAAGACACTCATGGATCACCTAACAAAGACACTCATGGATCACCTAACAAAGATACTCATGGATCACCTAACAAAGATACTCATGGATCACCTAACAAAGATACTCATGGATCACCTAACAAAGACACTCCATGGATCACCTAACAAAGATACTCATGGATCACCTAACAAAGATACTCATGGATCACCTAACAAAGATACTCATGGATCACCTAACAAGATACTCATGGATCACCTAACAAAGACACTCATGGATCACCTAAGACACTCATGGATCACCTAACAAAGATACTCATGGATCACCTAACAAGATACTCATGGATCACCTAAAAAAGAAAACTATGGATCACCTAAGACACTCATGGATCACCTAAAAAGATAACTCATGGATCCCCTAACAAGATACTCATGGATCACCTAACAAAGACACTCATGGATCACCTAAGACACTCATGGATCACCTAACAAAGATACTCATGGATCACCTAACAAAGATACTCATGGATCACCTAACAAGATACTCATGGATCACCTAACAAAGACACTCATGGATCACCTAAGACACTCATGGATCACCTAACAAAGATACTCATGGATCACCTAACAAAGATACTCATGGATCACCTAACAAGATACTCATGGATCACCTAACAAAGATACTCATGGATCACCTAACAAGATACTCATGGATCACCTAACAAAGACACTCATGGATCACCTAAGACACTCATGGATCACCTAACAAAGATACTCATGGATCACCTAACAAAGATACTCATGGATCACCTAACAAGATACTCATGGATCACCTAACAAAGACACTCATGGATCACCTAAGACACTCATGGATCACCTAACAAAGATACTCATGGATCACCTAACAAGATACTCATGGATCACCTAACAAAGACACTCATGGATCACCTAAGACACTCATGGATCACCAAACAAAGATCTCAGGGATCACCTAACAAGATACTCATATCACCTAACAAAGACACTCATGGATCACCTAAGACATTTCATGGATCACCTAACAAAGACATCAAGGATCACCTAAGACATCATGGATCACCTAACAAAGATACTCATGGATCACCTAACAAAGACACTCATGGATCACCTAAGACACTCATGGATCACCTAACAAAGATACTCATGGATAAACCTAACAAAGATACTCATGGATCACCTAACAAAGATACTCATGGATCACCTAACAAAGATACTCATGGATCACCTAACAAAGATACTCATGGATCACCTAACAAAGACACTCTTTGGATCACCTAAGACACTCATGGATCACCTAACAAAGATACTCATGGATCACCTAACAAAGATACTCAGGGATCACCTAAAAAAAGATACTCAGGGATAAACCTAACAAAGATACTCATGATCACCTAACAAAGATCTCATGGATCCCTAACAAGAACTCAGGATCACCTAACAAAGACACTCATGGATCACCTAAGACACTCATGGATCACCTAACAAAGATACTCATGGATCACCTAACAAAGATACTCATGGATCACCTAACAAATATTTCATGGATCACCAAAACAAAGATACTCATGGATCACCTAACAAAGATACTCATGGATCACCTAACAAAGACACTCATGGATCACCTAACAAAGATACTCATGGATCACCTAACAATGATACTCATGGATCACCTAACAAAGACACTCATGGATCACCTAACAAAGACACTCATGGATCACCTAACAAAGACACTCATGGATCACCTAACAAAGATACTCATGGATCACCTAACAAAGATACTCATGGATCACCTAACAAAGACACTCATGGATCACCTAACAAAGACACTCATGGATCACCTAACAAAGATACTCATGGATCACCTAACAAAGATACTCATGGATCACCTAACAAAGATACTCATGGATCACCTAACAAAGACACTCATGGATCACCTAACAAAGATACTCATGGATCACCTAACAAAGATACTCATGGATCACCTAACAAAAAAAATACTCATGTCCCCTAAAAAAGATATCATGGATCACCTAACAAAGATACTCAGGGATCACTAACAAAGATAACTCATGGATCACCTAACAAAGATACTCATGGATCACCTAACAAAGATACTCATGGATCACCTAACAAAGATACTCATGGATCACCTAACAAAGACACTCATGGATCACCTAACAAAGATACTCATGGATCACCTAACAAAGATACTCATGGATCACCTAACAAAAAACACTCATGGATCACCTAACAAAGATACTCATGGATCACCTAACAAAGATACTCATGGATCACCTAACAAAGATACTCATGGATCACCTAACAAAGACACTCATGGATCACCTAACAAGATACTCATGGATCACCTAAGACACTCATGGATCACCTAACAAAGATACTCATGGATCACCTAACAAAGATACTCATGGATCACCTAACAAAGATACTCATGGATCACCTAACAAAGATACTCATGGATCACCTAACAAAGATACTCATGGATCACCTAACAAAGATACTCATGGACACCTAAAAAAAGACAACTCATGGATCACCTAACAAGATACTAATGGATCACCTAAGAAAACTCATGGATCACCTAACAAAGATACTCATGGATCACCTAACAAAGATACTCATGGATCACCTAACAAAGATACTCATGGATCACCTAACAAAGAAAACTCATGGATCACCTAACAAAGTTTACTCATGGATCACCTAACAAAGATACTCATGGATCACCTAACAAAGATACTCATGGATCCCCTAAAAAAGATACTCATGGATCACCTAACAAAGATACTCATGGTTTTCACCTAACAAAGATACTCATGGATCACCTAACAAAGATACTCATGGATCACCTAACAAAGATACTCATGGATCACCTAACAAGATACTCATGGATCACCAAAACAAAGACACTCATGGATCACCAAACAAAAAATACTCATGGATCACCTAACAAAGATACTCATGGATCACCTAAACAAAGACACTCATGGATCACCTAACAAAGATACTCATGGATCACCTAACAAAGATATCATATCACCTAAAAAAAGATACTCATGGATCACCTAACAAAGATACTCATGGATCACCTAACAAAGATACTCATGGATCACCTAACAAAGACACTCATGGATCACCTAACAAAGATACTCATGGATCACCAAACAAAGAAAATCATGGATCACCTAACAAAAAATACTCATGGATCACCTAACAAAGATCCCAAATGGATCACCTAACAAAGATACTCATGGATCACCTAACAAAGATACTCATGGATCCCAAAACAAAGAAAACTCATGGATCACCTAAAAAAGGGACACTCATGGATCACCTAACAAGATATTTGGATCACCAAAGACACTCATGGATCACCTAACAAAGATACTATGGATCCCCCTAACAAAGAAACTCATGGATACCTAACAAAGATACTACATGGATCACCAAACAAAGATACTCATGGATCACTAAAAAGATACTCATGGATCACCTAACAAAGATACTCATGGATCACCTAACAAAGATACTCATGGATCACCTAACAAAGATACTCATGGATCACCTAAAAAAGACACTCATGATCCCCCTAACAAAGACACTCATGGATCACCTAACAAAGATACTCATGGATCACCTAAAAAAGATACTCATGGATCACAAAACAAAGACCTCATGGATACCTAACAAAGATACTCATGGACACCTAACAATGATACTCTGGATCACCTAACAAAGACACTCATGGATCACCTAACAAGATACTCATGGATCACCTAACAAAGACACTCATGGATCACCTAACAAGATACTCATGGATCACCTAACAAAGACACTCATGGATCACCTAACAAAGACACTCATGGATCACCTAACAAAGACACTCATGGATCACCTAACAAAGATACTCATGGATCACCTAACAAAGATACTCATGGTTCACCTAAGTTTACCCCAGGGATCACCAAAACAAAGATACTCATGGATCACCTAACAAAAGTTACTCATGGATCACCTAACAAAGATACTCATGGATCACCTAAGACACTCATGGATCACCTAAGACACTCATGGATCACCTAAGACACTCATGGATCACTAAGACACTCATGGATCACAAAAGAAAACTCTGGGTCACCTAAGGACACTCATGGATCACCTAAGACACTCATGGATCACCTAATAACTATACAGTCCTATAGAGACAATGGTGAAGATAAGGAAGTCTTGAGGTAATCAGGCCCTCAATTTGAAGTCAATTACATGGACTCCAGGCTGAGGGACTGATTATCTCAAATGCCTGATCTTCAGCATTCTCTGTATTGGACTGATGAAGCCAGTGTGTGGCAAATCATTTCCTCAATAAAGATAACCAAGTGTTGCACATTTGTTTAATTTATCAATTTACTGGTTCTTGGAACCATTTATCTACACAGAGGCAGCCAGGCCAAGAGTCGCACCTGCACCAGTGCGTCGTCACCAAGCTGGGAACAAGCCAGGGTTGGGGTGGTGCCCAGGAAGCCAGAGTCCGTCACTTCCTCTACCGTTTCACCGATGCTCAGCACCAGCGTGGCGTTCACGAAGGACACGATGATGTACGAATCGTACTGATCTGTTGGAAGAACCAGCGCAAATATTAACCCTCTGAACAATGACCCACAATAAAAACTCCAGTGATATACAGGAGGACCTAGCATATACAGTGTTTATTTTCGGTGTTCCATGTTTTCACTGTCTTTCAACTACGTCATTGTTCCACACAACGGTGACAATCACTGGCAGGTGGAACATAATGAACAATGGCTTAATCTGAAGCTAACAAAAACATGGAACACTGAAAAGATGTATATGGAGGGCCCTCCTATATTGCCAACAATGTCAGTACAGTGGTACCTCGGGATACAAATTTATGTCGTTCCAGAAGGCTGTTCGAGTGCCGACGCTGAACGAATTTGTTCCCATAAGGAATAATGTAAATTAGATTAATCTGTTTCAGGCCCCCAAAAATACACTTACAAAAGCACTTACACAATTCTTCGAGTTTTGGGCTGCTCATATCCTGAGGTACCACTGTATATGTATCAATGGAAGAAAACTACCAAATAGTTACAAAAAGATTAATGACAAATAATTTAAATAATCTAGCAGAGTAATATACAATGATCAATTGTACAAGTGAACCCATCCAGAGAAAAGTAAACGCCAATATACAAATAATCTGCCCATCGGAGAAACAAACGATGACGTTTCAAGTCTGATTTGGACCATTAACTAGCGTGTGTCTAGTCAATGGTCGAAGTCGAACAAAATCATTGTCATAAGTTTTTTCTGCTACGTGCACGTTATTTGTGTTATTATTCCAGTCACAGTATTGTGCCTTTTTATTCACAACAGAAGATATTAGTAACATATATTTTACCCTCCAATTGAGGTCCTCTTCAACAGACTTGGGAGTCACCTTAAGAAGGCTTCAGTTGTACGACAAAATTCTCAAACTATAAATGAAAAGGCAATGAACCGACAGTCCTTAAAAAAAAAAATCGTAAAGAAACTTAATAAATACCCCAGTGAATGAAATATCATTTCTCAATTAAAAGGGTTTTGTGTACTTTCTTTTTTTCAACACACCGGCCGTATCCCACCGAGGCGGGGTGGCCCAGAAAGGGAAAAAGAAAGTTTCTCCTTTCAAATTTAGTAATATATACAGGAAAAGAGGTTACTAGCCCTTGCTCCCCGGGATTTAGTCGCCTCTTACAACACGCATGGCTTACGAAGAAAGAATTCTGTTCCACTTCCCCATTGTGTACCTTTTCTTCAAAACATTGAGACGTTGTGTTCATCGTAAACTTTTATATACATACATGTATTTTTTTTTTGTGTAAAAAGAGCTTTATCATCCTGCCGCTCAAACAAAAATAATCTAGCACTTCCTCACTTCATGCAAGTTTGCTCTCTAATGTCCTATTTTAATCAATAATTCCACATACTGTTTGCAATGTGCTGACACCACGTGATCGTATAACCTAATTCAGGTCTGCATAAATAACTCATTATGATTGTGACCAGATATAAACATATAAATAGTTCATTACCTTCGTAACTTGTTCAGCCATCAAAACTTTGTGTCCCAGTCGCTGGACCCATTATATACCTCTGTAATGTTGACATACGTCTGGACCCATTATGTGCCTCTGCATGTTGAGGTACAGTTCCTAGACCCATTATGTATCTCTGTAATGTTGAGGTACAATCCCTGGACCCATTATGTACTTCTGTAATGTTGAGGTACAGTTCCTAGACCCATTATGTACCTCTGTAACATTGAGGTACAGTTCCTGAATCCATTATGTACCTCTGTAATATTGAAAGGGACGTCCCTGGGCCAATTATTATTAACAACAATATGTGATCAGTGTGACTGACAAAGCACAATGGAGATCATGTGTAACTGTCCTGACTGAGCTTAGTACATGTAAACAAACCAGGGAACAGGTGGGGTTTGAAGCCATGGCAAGCAAGTTATAAAACTCCCAGCCAGAGCACGTACCTGGGATTCACCAACAGAGTAATACAAGGGTCACTTATAGTCATACATACTAAATTTTAACTGTGTTAAAAGTGTGAATAAATAAACCCGTATTTAAAAGCCAATAAAAGAATACAAGTTAGGGACTTGCTGCTTTATGCTGGGTAATTATCTGAATTTTGCCCCCGGGATAATAAATGCCACACCATCGTAAGTAAAGGGAATACAGTCCCCCCCCCGGTTTAACAAAATTTTTCACTCCAGAAGTTTTTCGGGGGCCAGTACTGGAAATTTTTGTTCCCATAAAAATTTTGTGAAGAATTTTCCCATTTCAGACCCCCAAACATAAAAGTAAAACCACTTACATAAATACATTTACATAATTGGTCACTTTGGGAGTAATCGTTATGGGGGGGTCCACTGATTTGTAAATACTGCCTAAAACTCAATGGGAATTTGCAGTTCGGAGGGCTGTGAAGGTGAGTGGGGTCCCTTTCTGGCAAGACAGTGATTAAACGAATGGGGGTGGGGGGTTTTTTCATCTTTTCGGGCAACCCTATCTCTGTGGGAGGTCAAGTGAAAAACACTATCCCCTCAAGTTAATATCGGGGTCCTATAACGAAAAAGGGGGGGCTTATTGTCATCTAAAGTGCCAATAAGGGCCATCTTATCACAATAATTCATCTACATGCACAATAATGGCCACTGTAGTGCACAAAAAAGGTCATCTACAGGCACAATAAGGTCCTCTACAGTGAAAATAATGGCCCCACTACAGGCAAAAAGGCCTCTACAGTGCACACAGGGTCATATTTCACAACCTAGCCAATAATTGCACATCATTATTTTTTGGCACCAGTGTAAAGCCCTTTTAGTGACCCCTTAAACCAGTGTCCCAGCTGCAAACGTTGGGAACACGTAAAATCAAAAACAATAAATTCCACCATTTTGCCTTTTTTTTAAAAACAACTTATCCTTTCAAAAAAAAACTCCCAAAACCTCCAAAAACTCTTTAAAAACCCCCCAAAAACTCCAAAATCCCCAAAAAAAAAACTCTCTAAAACCCCCAAAAAAATTTTTTTAAAAACCCCAAAAACTCCCAAAACCCCAAAAAAAACTCTCAAAAAACCTCCAAAAACCTTTAAAAAACCTCCAAAAACTCTCTAACCCCTAAAAACCTTCAAAATCTCTCTAAATCACTTCAAAACCCTCTAAAAAGCTTCTATTTTCCTCGGAACTGAAAAACCAAAACCCGGGGGGGGGATAAAACCCCCGGACAAGCTAAAAACCCAACCGCGCAACTAAAATGTACCCTGGAAAAATTTTGGTGATTTTACCGAGGGAGGTTTTGCCACCAGTACTTCTTTCATCTTTGGGGAGAACGGGGGAAAAAGGGGGTGCTGGGGGATCAGTCCCCTCCCTGAAGGGGTGTTTCATCCATTATTTTAAAGGGGCACTTTTTTTTTAAGACTGATGATGCACTTTTTTTAAGATTGATGGTTTGAACACATCAACTCCGAGGGCGATTATTTCAAACTCCTGCTCTTTTTCCACCTTTCCTTTGCACTTGACAAAGAACCACGGCGGCAGACTTTTCCCTTAAAAAAACTTTCCCCAAAAAGCCCCACAACACTCGTTTCAACGGGATTTTTCTAACCATTTATAGCACCTTTGTAAACTTTTGCAGCGCATTCTTTACGTTTTATTTTTGGGCTTGATCATTTGTTTTGGGGTTTAAATATATATTACCTTTACAACACTACTCCCTCAATCTAAAAGAGAAAAAAAAGGCTTTTTGATAAATATCAAAAAACCTTTTAATTAGTACAGATCAAAAACCATTTAACCTTTAAATTAAAATAATCAAAGACATATAGTAGCGAAGATTCCTAAGAACACCTAAATAAATACAAACATTGTTTAGAAAAAGGGTCATCACAACTAAGGGGGGCCGTTTACTTGGAAATGTTTCACTCTCTAGGGCATTGCCCCAAGCCTTTAAAATTCACCCCCGGGGAGTGAAATCTACCACAATAAAAGGGCCCCCTTTAGTTTGGTGTGCCCTTTTTACCAAAACATTTTGTTAAATTCTACCAAAAAAAAGACCCCACGGGTCTTTTTTGTTTTTAAAATGCGTCGTCTCCCCAGACAGGGACCCAAAAAGACACTTCACTATAAATCCACAATTGCTGCTGGCCTCTGCCTCCAGAAAAGAAGTAATGTGAATGGGGTGAATTGTTTCTTTTCAGTCCCCGGGGATGCCCAGGGGTAAAAAAAAAAAAATCATAATCCTACGGGTTTTGGCGTGAAATAAAATTATAAAAGCCTTTGCATTCTTTTCAAAAATTTTTTACATACACTTCCCACTATAAACAAAAAAATTTGATTAGAATGTTTTGTATATTCAACATCTACCTGATCTACCTGGGGGGTACTCCGGGGTCGTGCCCCGCCCCCCGGTCCATGACCACCCCCCGGAGTCAGGGCCAAACAACTGGGCTGTTACTGGGGGCCGCACGTACCCAACATACGAACTGTCCCCCGGCTACCGGCACTGACTTTAATATCTGTCCAGCCCTCCGAAGGCATCAGATAGGGGTTGGTATACCCGGGTAAAACTGAAGAAGACTATTTCTAGAATAACCTACAGGTTAACCTTTCTCACTATTGGGGGGGGGGAAAACTACGAAGAGAATAAAAATTTAAAAAAAAAATACGTTTCTGCCCCCCCCGACCACTGTCAAGTGATTAAATGATTTTTCTGTCAGAATGGACCATCATTAATCTTTTAATAACTGACCACTGCAAGAATAAAGATATTTTCGTCGATACGGACCATCTTTAGGTAAAAAATTTAAAAATTTCATCCAGGAGGGCAAAATGCCTTGCTAAATGTCTTCCCTATTCTAGTTAGTAGGGAAAATTCACACACTACAATTTTGCTCCGCCATCAACACAACCATGGCAAAAAACCCCCGAACATGCAAAACACACTTATAGACCACGAAATCATAACACGGTTACAAACAACCAGGGAAAAGGGGTTTGAACCCTCGTGAGTGAGTACAAAAAATCCAGGGATTTAAAATGGGCCAGCTGGGTACAAAAAAACCTCTAACTAGGTATATTTATAAAACCATAAGGAGGTTTGCTGGGCCCCATTGTGATCACAAAGAAAAATTTTACAGAGAATCTCTCACCATGGGCCTGACAAACCTAGCTCAAGTCCCCTCAAAGCCCCTATTTTGGCCACTGGCCACTGACCCATGATTATCATTTTTACAAGTTTTTTTTAATTTATTCCCTGGGGTTTAGCCCCACCCATCAGGGTTTGTTTTACACACTATCACTTCAACACACCACGCAGCCCACATACTTGCACTTGTTTTTAAATTTTATTTTTTTTTAAACAAGTGGCCTCTCCCCCGGGGCAGGGGACCCGAAAAAAAAACACTTTCACCATCATTCACACTATCACTCCTTATCAACTGTGCATATTGACGTTTAGATGTCGCTCCAAACACAAAACCCAAACCCTTTTTCAAGTGCAGGGACTGTCTTCCCACCACCCGGGCTCAATCTGACTAACTGGTTTCCCGAATCATTTCACAAAAATACCCAGCACAGACCCCAAAAAACCATTTTCCCCATTTACTCCTCTCCCAAAAGCAAAAAATAATTATAATTTTTTTTTATGCCCATTTTTAAACTAATACTTTAAACACATTTTTTGAATGTCTTTAAAAAAAAAAACATTGTTTCCCCGTCACAGCTAGACACCAGTTTCCTTTGTGCATAAATTTTTAAAAATTTTTTATCAATTTTTACTAATGGACTTATGTCAGCATATTTTCTGATCCCCCTTACATTGTTGTAACTTAGCTGATACTTAGACCATCCTATTTTTATATAGACACCCCACAGGCCCAGTGACTGTTGACGTCACGGGATGCGGAGATGAGTGGGGGCCCTTACCTCCCTTCATCCACCTTAGACATACCAGGGACACGGGGTTGGGCTCCCTTCCACAGTCTGACAATATAAGTTACCACCCACAAAATTGTTTATCTTCAAACCCTCAATCTCCTTCGAACCCCCACGAAACTTAACCTTTTAAATTACAGACCCCAACCTGCCAATATGTGCCCATACCCCCCTTTACCAAATCCCGAAATTATCACCACACCATCCTATTTGGGACTCTAACTTCTATACGTACCACACGACTTATTTAGGTACCCTATAATTCCCCAGGTACCAAAGACTTTAAAAAATTCAATATCTTGGGTTTATCACCAAAATATTAAAATACCAGCAAAACTTTAAATTAGGTACCAGTAGAATTCCCCAGGGAAACCTAAAATTCAAAAAATTTCAATTCTTGGTTCTCCCAATAATATTAAGTACCAGCATGATTCAAAAGACATAAAAAAACCGGGGGGTTTCTTTTCATAGGAACACAACCCAACCTATAGTTTAAACTAACAACAACTTTTTTTTTAAAATTTTAACAAAACCCCTGATCCCATGTGTCCAAAAAAAAAAAACAAAGTTTTTCCTTTTTAAATTTAGTAAACGGGTTTCCCCATCCTTAACCGAAATAAATTCGAAAATTCCAAAAAAACCCAAAATTTTTTGTGGGGGCGTCAGTCAATCCGTGCTGGTCCCCCGCCACATGGGGGCCCTGAGAATCTTTTGAATTCGAACAAAACGGGCCCCCAAGGTTTTGGAAAAGGGGTGTCACCCTTTTTAAAAAAAGGGGGTTTCTAGCCCCTTCTCCCGGCATTTTATCCCCCCTTATGACAGCAGGCTACGGGGGAAGGATTTTTCCCTCATGGAAAAGCAAGTTAAACTTGCCTGGGGGAAAAAGGGTTTAAACAGGGTTTTTTCCACGAAAGGTTCCCAATTCCTTGAACAAACCCTTTAACATCAAGACACCCCCCCTTGAAGGGCAGTCTGGTCAATAAGGTGAGTACTAATAGGAAATCATCTTCTTTTGCTTAACAAAGGGAGAGCCCCCACACATTTTGTGCTTTGACCCATAGTTGTTTTGTTTTTAAAATGTTTATTATCACCCCCCAACCCCCCTGTGGGGGGTAGTCAAAAGATTACAGAGGACTAATTGGCCAGGGACTGGACTCCAAATTTTTTATAGCTGACCCATGGGGTTTAGTGCTTAACCCGAATTTTTATAATTTTTAATGGGCAGCATTTAAAAAAATACTCTGAAAACCTAATTATCTCTGAATAATCCCAAAAATCTCTGAAAAATTTCCCAAACAATCCAAATAATCTCAATTTTTCATTTAAGTTTCAAAATTTTTTCTCACTTATCCCTTGAAATTTTTTTACCAAAAGACCTAATATTTTTTTCAGGAAAAATTTCTTAAAATAAAATTCTTTGCAAATTGTTCATGTTGTATCCAAAATTTAAAGCAATTTATCACCTTATTATAACATGATGGCCCGGGGGCTAAAGCTCCCCTTTTACAACGGAGGGCCCCGGGCTCATTCCCACGGTGGAAAAATTCGACATGTTTTCCCTTCACCTGTTGTCCTTTCCCTAGCACAAAAAGTACCTGGTGTTTCACTGTGTGGGTCCATCCCGGGGGCGATTAAGACCCCAATGAAATAAATTAGCCCCAAATGACCGGGGATCCTGGGGGCTAAACCCCCGGGGAAAAAAACCAAAGAAATCTTAAAAACCTTTAAAATTTGTCATTTATATTCCCTTTTTGAATATTATTAAATTTTTTTTAGATATAAAATTGTCTCAACATATTCTTACCCCCTCTTTAACATACTGCTTAAAACCCCCCCTCAACCAACACTTACTCTCTCACATACTACTATACTGTCTCTCTCAACATACTGCTATACTGTCTCTCTCAACATACTGCTAATACTCTCTCTCAACATACTACTATAATGTCTCTCTCAACATACTGCTATACTGTCTCTCTCAACATAACTGCTATACTGTCTCTCCTCAACATACTACTATACTCTCTCTCTCACATACTACTATACTGTCTCTCTCAACATACTACTATACTCTCTCTCTCAACATACTACTATACTCTCTCTCTCAACATACTACTATACTGTCTCTCTCAACATACACTATACTCTCTCTCTCCTCAACATACTACTATACTCTTTCTTTCAACATACTACTATACTCTCTCTCTCAACATACTACTATACTCTCTCTCTCAACATACTACTAATACTCTTTCTCTCAACATACTACTATACTCTCTCTCTCAACATACTACTATACTCTCTCTCTCTCAACATACTACTATACTCTTTCTTTCAACATACTACTATACTCTCTCTCTCAACATACTACTATACTCTCTCTCTCAACATACTACTATACTGTCTCTCTCAACATACTGCTATACTCTCTCTCTCAACATACTACTATACTGTCTCTCTCAACATACTACTATACTGTCTCAACATACTACTATACTGTCTCTCTCAACATACTGCTATACTGTCTCTCTCAACATACTACTATACTCTCTCTCTCAACATACTGCTATACTGTCTCTCTCAACATACTACTATACTGTCTCTCTCAACATACTACTATACTGTCTCTCTCAACATACTAACTATACTCACTCTCAACATACTACTATACTGTCTCTCTCAACATACTACTATACTGTCTCTCTCAACATACTACTATACTCTCTCTCTCAACATACTACTATACGTCTCTCTCAACATACTACCGTACTCTCTCTCTCAACATACTACTATACTCTCTCTCTCAACATACTACTATACTGTCTCTCTCAACATACTACTATACTGTCTCTCTCAACATACTACTATACTCTCTCTCTCAACATACTACTATACTCTCTCTCTCAACATACTACTATACTCTTTCTCTCAACATATTTCTAGTCTAAACACTTCCTTAGATTTGTTAGTACATAAATCAATGTAATAAAATGAAAAGGGATTAAATATCATCAAGGTTGACATTTCAGTGCACTTGGCAAAAAAGAAAATAAAAACGGCATAGAAGTAAGTCAAAAGATAATTGTGAAGAAAACACTTGCATAATTGAGAGAAACATCTCCACAAAGATACGTCTGAGTGAAACATCTCCACAAAGATACGTCTGAGTGAAACATCTCCACAAAGGATACGTCTGATGAAACATCTCCACAAAGATACGTCTGAGTGAAACATCTCCACAAAGATACGTCTGAGTGAAACATCTCCACAAGATACGTCTGAGTGAAACATCTCCACAAAGATACGTCTGAGTGAAACATCTCCACAAAGATACGTCTGAGTGAAACATCTCCACAAAGATATGTCTGAGTGAAACATCTCCACAAAGATACGTCTGAGAGAAACATCTCCACAAAGATACGTCTGAGAGAAACATCTCCACAAAGATACGTCTGAGAGAAACATCTCCACAAAGATACGTCTGAGAGAAACATCTCCACAAAGATACGTCTGAGAGAAACATCTCCACAAAGATACGTCTGAGAGAAACATCTCCACAAAGATACGTCTGAGAGAAACATCTCCACAAAGATACGTCTGAGAGAAACATCTCCACAAAGATACGTCTGAGTGAAATGAAGATACTGTACATCCGAATGAAACACCTGCAGAGTCAAACAGCCGGCACAAACCTTCGCTACGTTTCCTGACAGTCCAGACGGCAGTGGGGTTGCCAGGCAGCTCTGACACTGCCATCTCGCTGACCTCCAAGCCGTGGCGCAGCACTCGCAGCGACGACCGTGGACCTCGGCCACACACTGTGTACAACTGTGGTGTGTCCTCATTGGCTGTGTGGAGAGACTGGAGTCGTCAGTTCACCAAAATGCTCACTACAGTAAGTTCTCGACCTACAAACACACTGCGAATCTTCCGTACTGTATATCATTATTATATCATTATTGTATTTCTTTCTTTCAACGTACCAGCCATATCCCACCGAGGCGGGGCGGCCCAAAAGGAAAAACGAAAGTTTCTCCTTTCAAGATTAGTAATATATACAGGAGAAGGGGTTACTAGCCCCTTGCTCCCGGCATTTTAGTCGCCTCTTACGACACGCATGGCTTACGGAGGAAGAATTCTGTTCCACTTCCCCATGGAGAATTATTGTATTTATCATTATTATATCATTATTATACATAATTCAGGAGGTCCCCAATGCATTTGTAAGTCAAGGATTTACTGCAATGGTTAATCCTTTTCCCATCATTAGCTGTGTAGACTGGGATTAACCATAATAAAGGATTTACTGTAATGGTTAATCCCTTTCCCATCATTAGCTGTAGAGAGACTGGGACCAACTATAATCAAGGATTTACTGTAATCGTTAATTCTTTTCCCATCAATAGCTGTGTGGAGACTGGGATTAACCATAATCAATCATTATGGTTAATCCCTTTCCCATTTTCATGGGATATGACGAAGCATCCGCTCAAAAAAGGCTGGAAAAGCAGTCAACGTCAATATAACAGATTTTGCAACAAACTTCTGAAATAACAGAAATCTGAATAAATTGTACTTTTAACCCCTTCAGGGTCCAAGGCCAAAATCTGAAGTGGTGCTCCAGTGTCCAAGAAATTTTGAAAAAAAAAAAAAATTATTATTTTTTCTTACAGAATTAAAGAGCATATTTTTGTGAAGGTAATAAGACAAAAAAAAAAATTTTCTGTTTAGAACTTCCCGAGAAAACAGTGCCAAAAAATTTTTTTCCCAAAAAATGATTGGTGGGGGCAACTCGAAAAATTTCCCCAAACCCGCGCATTGTTTTTTTTTACAGTTTTTGGGGTTTTTTTTTCCCCCTTTTTTTTTTCTTTCCAACCAAACTTTTTGGGCCCTTTAGAACCAATACTGTAAAAGTTTATATATAAACTCACGTATTGAACCAATAACTGCAAAAGATTTTAATTACAATTAGGGTTTTCCCCACGGTTTTTTTATTAAAAAATAACATGCACAAATTTTTGTAATAATACAAAGTTCTATCTATTTTTTAACATATTTACAATCACTGGAAAAAGGTTTTTAAGAACTGCGGACCTTGGGAATTTCCTTAAAAAGGGCACCAGAAACAGGGGCACCTTACTTTCCTCACACAAAAACCCAATGTCTTTGCTTTTTTGTTGCCATCGTTTTTTTTTGTGCACAAAACGATCCCATCTCTTCTGAGCAAATTTTTTTCTGATTGAAGGAACCCTTTTATTATAAATAAACCCCTTCCCTCCTCAAACGCTTGGGAAATATCCGAGGAATTCGGGGACCTTGTTGTATGCGGGTGTTTTTTTCCCTTTGGGGTATTTCCCTTTATGATTTTGCCCTAAAAACAACAAACAAAATTCACCAAACAGGGGGTTTTGCCAGTCTTTATTTGGAACATATTATATCATTGAGCATTGAAAGGTCCATAGATGGAAAAAAAATTTTTCTGTCCCAAACTTGTAACCTTACAAACCAGTCAAAAAAACCAACTACTTTTCACTTTTGTCCCCCCAAGCGCATGTTTTTTTAAAAAAATAATCACGGGTCGGGGGTTTTTTCAAACTTTCTTAGTCCTCAAAAAATTTTGGGCCACTGCTTTTAAATTCTTTTAGGGTGAAGGGTTGTCAACAATGTGACATCTCGTTTGTCACCCCCCGTAATCCATGATTTTCATTGCAGTAAATACCTGCCCCGTCATCACCACGAAAACCCGCTTTAAAACCCGGGGCATATTTTTTACAATTAAACGCACGTGCCACACACATCTGCCCTTTTTCACTCGCAAGAAATAAACTAGAAAAGGGGCTTGGGGTCCCAAAGTTTTTGGGTAAAAAATGTATCCCCTTACCAAGAAAAGGGTGCAAAAATGTTTCTCACAAATCCCCTTTAAAACCCCAATAACATCTTGGTTTTTTAAAAGGGTTTTACTTCCCATTTTAACAACAATATCCAACACCGGGCCACTTCCCCGGGTCACGGGAGTACAAACAGTTTTAAAACCAAAGCTTTCCTCTTGCTGGGTATATACTGCTTGAATGACAGTCCCCTTTTAAAACAAAATCAAAGACCCGTCAATTACAAGATTCTTGAAGGAAAAAAGTTTTATGCAAAACTTTTGTTTGAGATACAAAAAAAACATTTCTAATCTTTATAACCTTATTTCTTCAGGCCGGGTTTTTGTCAGAGAAGTGAAAACATACGTAACAGTAAGATAAACCTGTTCACGGGGAGGATTTCACTAAAGCCCGGGGTAAAATTAGCCAAACCCCGTGGACCAGAAATGCTTTTATATTTTTGCTTACGAAAATGGGGGGGCATAACATTTTTTTTGGGCAAAAAGCAAATAAAAATTTCTGCAACAGCCCTTTTTCCCACTGGTGTGTCTTGACGGGTGGGATATGATCGTTTTTTGCCAGGGTGTACCCAAAATACTTTTTACTTTCCCTGACAATATTTCCCTCAAGGGGGGGGTCAAAAAATAATTCAAAGAATTCCAGTTAAATTGGGCCGGGGTTTCCCAAAGGGGGACAAGAAAGGTAGAATTCCACTTTGAGAGTCATCAAATTTGGGGGGGGTTTGGGGAACAAAATAGGGTTTTTGGGCTGCCAATCCCAGAAAGGGTTTTGGTTTGGGGGGATACGGGAAACATCATAGGCGGTTGTGCGGGGGGTTGGGGTTGTGGGGGCGGGGTGGCTGACGCTCTGCTTGCCCCTTGAACTGGAGTCAGCAGCGGGGGTCCCCCCGGGGCCTGGTGAGTCACCAGGGCGGGGCCACACCATCACCACAACCCCCATCTGCTGATGCCTGTGGGTCTATCCATGCCAATGAAACCAAATTTCATCATCAAAATCACAACAAAACCTTTTGTGGGGCCCAAGGGAATTCTCCGGATTTTAACTCCTTTCCCCCCTGGGCAAAGCATGGGAAAAACACAAACCCGAGCGCATGGGGTGGCGAAACATACCGACGTTTCACTGGTGAATATGATCCTCACTTCACTACTCGAATGATCGCAAGCCCCCAATAAAATCACAACCCCACTCACTATCACTTAAATTACTGAAGCAGAGGCCTGGCCCCCGTAAAATTTTAAATTTTTTCTCTTGCGTTTGAGGTACAACTGACCGTGGCTAAAGAGTGCCCACCCCAGGGGTAAAAGGTTGAGGATCGCAGGGTTTTCTGCACTATTATCGATATCCTGGTCTTTCCCTTTTCGGTCCTAACGATCAAACCATAGAATTCGCTTCATTTCCATTTCCATCAGGTCAAAACCCTATCAGATGGGAAAGAGGAGAGCCCCAAATTTTTTCCCGGGGAGTGAGAGCTGTTTGCGACAGGAGGGGGTAACAAGGGTTAACCGACCCGGCATTCCCAAAAAATGCTATGGCCGCCTAGTTTTTTTTTTTATGGCACACACCCACCACGCAAAACCCTTTCTCCCCAAAAGTAGGCCTAAAACGTTTTCGCGTAAATTGACAGACCTAAATTTCTGGCATAGATCTACGGTTTGGCACTCAAACGTGAAGCCGTAATCAAGGGGACGGACCCCCTTAAATTTTTAAAATCATTTTTTTTTCCCAATTATTTTTTTAGCACGTTGGTTGTCTCCCCCCCAAAGGGGCAGGGTCCCCCAGAAAAACGAAAGATTTTCTCATCTTTCACTCCATCACTGTTTTCCCAGAGGGCCCAGATGAGACATTTCCTAATGTCACTCTAAAGTAAATATCCTAAACCCCCCTCCTTCGGGGAACTGTACTTCCCACCATCAGGCGGGAACACCTTCAGAAGGCAGGAAACTCAACCCAAAACTAACGTAGTTTTTATTATATTTAAAATACTACCAAAGCAAAAACAGACAACCCAAGACAGGAAGAAACAAATAAATTATTAGTTATTTTCACAAACTAACGCTGACGGCCCAAAATAAGGGTCCATAACTAAACCCCAAAATCACAATCTGAAAAGCCATGATGGGGGAGAGCGAGTCGATTCATCGACCAACCCCGGGTTTCTGTAGCTCCGGGGAGCGTAGAAAAAGGGGATCCCCTTTCCTCCGGGGGAAAGGCGAGCTGAACCCCGGTTCAGCGTCGCCGTCACCGGGGTTGAGCAATCGGGAAACAAGGAGGGACATTTTATTTTTGGGCCCTCGGTTCCATATCATACCCAGGAATTTTTTTTTTCTAAAAAAAGGGCCATCCCCCAAACCCGAGGCAGGGGGGGAACATAAAAAGGGAGAAACCTGCATTTTGGCCCTACGGGCCCATACTGGGCGGGGTCCTTTCAAACCCAAACATAATTTCCCTTACACACAACACACACACACACATGCAAACCACATGTCAACCCACTTCCCAAAAAACCACAACCACCACATTTACAAACCCACAACACAAAACACAAACCCCCAAGTCACTTTCCCACACACCCAAAAACATACAAAGCAACTTACAAACACAAACACCACAAGTCACATTCCACACCCCCCACATCCCAAATAAACAAACAAACCCCCCAAACATACAAACACTCACAAACTCACCTAAATAAAGATAATGGTTACCAAACTCCGAGGCAAAAAAAGAGGAAGCCAGTCTTGAGAACACACAGGCCCCCGCCGGCAACGTGTCGAAATATTTTCAGCTTGATCCCCGGGCACAACATCCTCGTCCCGTTTCTAGAGTAATTTTGAAAAGGGGTTTTGAGTAAAATTTTTTCCTTTTCTTTTTCATTTTTTTTTATAGAGCACAGGGTTGACCCCTACTGAGATAGGGGACCCACCCCTCAAAAAAATTGAAAAAAAAAATACAGGGGTCCC